ATATAATTACTAAACTGTAGCCCTATGATACAGCAAAAAGACAAAGATAGATGTATAAATGGGTGGATGGATAGATAGGATAGAAAGATGATACTGCTTCTTTATAGAGACAACAGTTTTAGTTCTTGGGTTTAACTGTTTTGTTCTCTTCTTCTCCTTTGCTACTGCTATACTAAGGTTCTACTAGACCACCACCCAGAGAAACAATGTTATTGTTACCCTCTTTGGATAGAACAAAGCACTGGCAGACTTTGCCAGGCTATAATAATTTTCTTTGACTAGTTGGTATCAGGGAAAATATTAATAGCTATGGCTATTAAGTTTAGATTGACTTTGAGTCATTACTTTTAATGTTTATGTTGAACAACAATGGAGGAAAATAAAATAGATGAGTTAGGTGAAAACTATAAAATTATTTTACTCAGTTATGACAAAATATTTTTAAAAATTGGTTATTTAGAAAGAAATTTAATATTTTATATGCATGTTTATATTTAAATCTGATTTGTAGGTCTTTGAAAAACAACTGTAGAATGTGAACTGTGTAATCTTTGTAAGTCCTAAAAATCTCTCCATTTTTTGAGGTATATAGAAATATTTTGAATATGTTTTGGTTGATTGGAGGTATGTTTTTAACTTTTTGTTTCTTCCATATTAAAAATATTAGCATGGTAACTTAAGAATATAGCCTTATTTGTTCCCTTATTTGTTCTTATTTTCAGTAGAACTAATTTCTGCTCTTAATTTTGCAAGATGTGATGGATGACCAAAGAAATACACGTTAGGTCCAAACTTCTCAATCTGTCAGTCTGTTCACTTTGAGATGTAATTTCAACGTAGGTGTTGAATTTTCTGTTATTTTACCTATGTCCCAAGTTGAAAAATGATATCTAGAAATCCTAAAAGAAAGTATATCTTAATCATCTTTCAATCCCAGTGCGTACTCTAGTACTTTTATACTTGGTGAATTTGCAATAACTATTTTTGAATGTCAGTATCTTTATTAGCCTCTATGACTGTGAGGAAATAAGAATGTAATTACTTATACTGCTGAATATTACATGGAGGGTGGTGAGAGGCCATAATGGTAAAAGGCATTTTAAAAATTTGTATAGCTATGATAGAGTGGATACTGCCCCAGATTTGTAAACTATATTAACCACATTATTTTATTAAATGTTGGCTAGTTGTTAGTTGGAAGACATGGTACGATTTAAAATGACTGAACAGTTAGGAAAACAGGTGGAATTTCAGTAGGGATATAAAAATTGAAAAGGAATATTTCCTATTTAATGTCTCTATATTGATCCTTTTTTGTATTATCACATTCAGGTTGAGCATTGTACTTTAAAAATAAAATAATCTGTAGAAGCAGAATAGGATTCAGCAAAACAACTCAACTTCTTAGATACAAATCTTTCATTTTAAATGGGTGTTGATTTATTTTTCCCTCATAAATGATCTTAAAATGAATTAAAAATCCAGAAATTTGTATTTGCTTCAAGTAACTAAGACCATTCTGGCTTATTCCTTAACAATTAGTTGTGAAGCTTCCATCACGCGCAAATATGTTAGGCAATTAGAATTTATATTGGAAACAGACATTTTTTGCTTTGAAAGTGAAAAATAAGGACTAGGGTAAAGCCTAAAATTTTAAAATGGCCTCCCTTATGTTCTGGCCCTTCCTTTCCTCTTTGTCCTTATATTATAGCACTTTCTTAGTCTTTGCATCTAGCCACATTATCTTCCTGTTTCTTTTCCTTTTTGAGATAGGGTCTCATTCTGTTGCCCTGGTGATAGTGACATTAGCCTAGCTCACAGCAGTCTTAAACGCCTGGGCTTAAGGGATCCTCCTGCTTCAGCCTCCCGAGTAGCTTGAACTACAGGCATGTACCACCATGCTCTGCTAATTTTTCTAATTTTTTTTGTTAGAGGCTAGGTCTAGCTATGTTGTTCGTGCTGGTCTCAAACTCCAGGCCTCAAGTGATCCTACTGCCTTGGCCTCCCAAAGTGGGAGGATTACAGATATGAACCACTATGCCTGGCCCCTTTCTGTTTCTTGAATGTACAGTGTTCCTTCCCACTACTGGGCTTTTATTTGGAATTGTCCTCACCACTCATCTCACCTGCTTAATTTTTCTCATCTTTTAGTTCTGAACTTGAAAGCTTTCTATTTTCTGTAAGTTTTCCTTGACCCCTTACTTTAGAACAGGTTCCTTTATTATGTACTATCGTAGGGCTATATTCCTTTTCACAGAACATTTATTTATATCAGTTGGTCTTTATGTATTCCATTGTAGAATTATCTGATCAGGGTCTGTCTCCTTTTTGAGACTATAATTACCATGAAAATTGGGACCGTATTGTTTTAACTCCTTTATGTCCCTTGCTTAGTACACAGTAGCTATTCAGTAAATATTTTTTGTGTGAATTGGACAGTGATAAATTATATGCCTGATGATATTTTCATACATTATTTTGTTTTCACCTTTATTCACTGTATTGTGAAAACTGATGTGGGAATGAAAGGTTTAGAAGTTAAGCTAGATATTTGTTAATGTAGTCAGGCGTCCTCAAACTATGGCCCGTGGGCCACATGCGGGCCGCCTAGCACATTTATCCAGCTCTCCAGGTGTTTTTGCTGCCACTGTCTGTCCTGCTTAGCAGCTGACTCGTCCCGGGCCCACAGTGCGCAGTCTCGGGCCCACAGTGCACAGTCTCCAATGGTATGAGGGACAGTGAACTGTCCCCCTGTTTAAAAAAGTTTGAGGACCCCTGAATTGTAGGTAATATATACTTTGCATCTTTGTAATATAAGGTCAGTTTTATTAAGTTTTAAATGTTAGATAGCCCAATGACAAATTTCAATAAAGATTTTACTAAATTATTACATAGATATTTAAATAGTTGAGATAAAGATGAGAATTCATGTGTTTTATATATTCAGGAACATATGTAATGAGCATTATATTATCTATTATTATTTATAGTACTTAGTAACCTAAGTGTCATGATTTGCATTTGTGTGAGCTTAAATGGTATCAGGACTTAAGTTAATGAGAGAAATAGTAGATATACTTAAGCCTGTTTTATGTAATATTTTAAAGTATAGGATAATTTTAAGGTGTTACCATTCTAAATGCATTTACTTTGGCCTTATTGATCCTTGACACTTCCATGAACTGTAAGAAATTATTTTAATATCACATCCTGTTTAAGTCCTTTACTGAGTTAGTTGGTTTAATGAAGAATTTGATGGAAGAATTAGACTAACTTCTAAGAATTTTGAAATTAAATGAAATTCACTCTAAGTATTAAAACATTAAAAATTTCTGTGTAATGATATTCAGTATGATGGTGTGAGCACTGGTTTAGTCATATATTTGTGAGGTAAGGTTATTAAACTTCTAAAATGGAGAAAAAAAGAACATGAATTACATAGGAACTCATGAAACACTATGTAATTCTATTTTTGCTCTGCTTTATTTCCCTCTTGGTCCTTTTGACTGCAGTTGACCCTGGAACAACATAGGGGTTAGGCAAATAAAATCCTGTACAGTTGAAAATCCATGTATAACTTTTGACTCCCCCAAAACTAGAAGCCTTACCAATAATGTAAACAGTTGATTAAAATGTATTTCCTATGTTATGTGTGTTACATACTGTATTCTTACAAGAAAGGAAGCTAGAGAAAAGAAAATGTTATTAAGAAAATCATTAAGGAAGAGAAAATATAATTAGTATTCATTAAGTGGAAGCAGATCATTTTATAGCCCTTGATCCTTGTTGTCTTCACATTGAATAGGCTGAAGAGTAGGAGGAAGAAGAAGGGTTGGTCTTGCCATCTCATGGGTGGCAGAGGCCAAGGAGGTAGAGGGAAGGTAGAAGGAGGGAGGCAGGAGAGGTAGGCTTTGGGGTGATGTTACAGAAATACAACATAATTTCTGAGTTTTTTGCTTTTTTATTTCTCTAAAAATGTTTCTATGCAGTTTCTATACCAATCTTTCTTCCACTATTTGCTTTAATTTCAGTGTCCGTGTCATAGAAGGGTTCATGTTGTAAAAGAAACCCAAAGCAGTCTTGAATAATTGGAACCAGTCTATAAAATTATTGTCTACTGTCAATTTATTTTCTGTCTCTGCTTATTCTACATCTTTTAATTGTCTAACACTTGTTTGGAAGCACTCATCTCCATCAGATTGTCTTCTGTTAATTCCTCTGGTGCAGTGTCTCTTGGCTCTTGAATTTCTCCGAGATCCATGTCTTGAAACCCTTTACCCTCCACCTTTTTTTTTTTTTAACCACATCCATACTCTCTCATGATTTCCTTGATTGGCTCTGTTGTGAATCCTGTGAAATCATGTACATCTGGACAGTTTTCTCCAGCGGGATTTTATTGTTTCTGGCTTGATGGCTTTCATGGCTTTTTCTGTAACAAGGATGTCATTTTCAATGGTGTAATTCTTCCAGACTTTCATGATGTTCTCTTTCTTGGGGTTCTCTTTCATAGCATTGACAATCCTTTCCATAGAATACTGTGTAATGAGCCTTAAAGGTCCTTATGACCCCCTGATCTAGTGACTGAATTAGAGACGTGTTTGGGGGCAAATACATTTCTTCAGTGTCTTCAGTGAACTCTGGGTGGCTAGGTTCTGGATGGCAAGGGATAATATTGACCAATATCAAAAGAACTGTAAAGATCAGTCCCTTATTGGCAAGCTGCTTCTTGATTTGAGGGATAAAGCATCAATGGAACCAATCCATAAAAGGGTTCTCTTCTGCATCTTTTTCTTTTTTTATCCAACCAAAAGACTGGCAGCTGTTATTTATCTTTTCCCTTCAAGGCTTGGGTATTAACAGAGTTATATATAAGGGCAGTCCTGATCATAGACCCGACTGCATTTTCACAAAACAGTGGAGTTAACTGATCCCTTCCTGCCTTAAATTCTGGTGCTTATTTTCCTTAGTAATAAATGTCTTTTCTTGAATTTTTTTCTAGAATAGGGCACTTTCATCTGCATTAAAATATGTGTTTAGGTAGGTATCCTTTCTGCTCAATGATTTTTTTTCATGGCACCTGGGACCTAGTCTGCTGCCTCTTGATCAGCTTCTCCTGGTATCTTGACATTTTTAAGCCAGACCTCTTTCTGAAATTATTGAACTATTCTTTGCTGGCATTAAATTTTCCAGCTTTAGATTCTTCACCTTCTTTTGCTTTAAGTTGCCATATAATGACTTTGCTTTTTCTTGAATTATGTTAGAGTCTATAGGTATGCCTTCCTTATAGCAATCTTGTACCCACATAAAAGCTGCATTTTGATACAAGATAAAAGGGTATTTCATAAAAAGTGCAAGGTTTTTTTGTCTGTAGCATAGCTGTAGCGACAGCTTTGCAAATTTCCTTTTCTTTTTTTTTTTTATGATGGTCCTTACACTGGATTCATTTTTCTTGAAATGGCAGCAACTGTAGCTGTAGACCTCAATCTACTATATACAACAAGCAATTCAATTTTTTCTTATAATGTCATGACATTTCTCTGTTTCTTGGCAGCACTTCCAGCATCACTAGTTGCACCTTGTATGGGTCCCATGATATTATTCAAGGTTTATGGCACTGCACTGGACATGATGAAAAATACGCAAGTACTGTGAGAGATCACTTTTTACTGTGTTATGCAATTTACTGGAGAGATGAACTGCTCATGTAGAATGAATGATTAGTGTCACATAGTATAATACTTGCAATACTTGAACAATAGCAATAGGAGGTGGCTATGAAATTATTACAGTAGTACAATGTGTACTGTAGCTAATTTTGTGCAGTTGTGATTTAATATAGCATATACTTTTGTTTATATTTCTCTCGACTGCCAATGGTGCCATATAAGTTCTGTAACAGTGTGTATGTGGGGTGTGTGTGTGTGTGAGTTTTGATGAATGTTAACTTTTTGCAGTAAGTTTTGAAATCTGGAAGTGTGAGTCCTCCAACATTTTCAAGAATTATATAGCTATTTCGAGTCCCTTGAGGTTCCATATGTATTTTAAGATTGGCTTTTCTTTCTGTAAAAAATAACTATTGGGATGTTGATATAGATTGCATTGAGTCTATAGGTCATTTTGGGTAGTGTTGTTATCTTCACTATATTTAGTCTTCCAATCTATGAACATGGGATGTCTTCCCACTTATTAATATCATCTTTTATTTTTTTCAGCAGTGTTTTATAGTTTTCAGTATACAATATTTCACCTTCTTGGTTGAATGTATTACTAATTGTTTTATTCTTTTTGATGCTATAGTAAATGGAATTGTTTTCTAAATTTTATTGTCCATGTTCATTGTGTATAGAAATGTAACTGGTTTTTGTATATTGATTTTTGTATCCTGCAGCTTTGCTGAATTCAAGCTAATAATCTTTCAGGCTTTTATATATATAATCATGTAGTCTGTGAACAGAGATAATTTTCCTTTTTCCTTTCCAGTTTTGATGCCATTTCTTTCTTTTGTTACATTGTGAGTTTTTAGGAATATGTCCATTTCATTCAGGTGATCCAATTTTTTGGCATATAATTTTTCATAGTATTCTCTTATCCTTTATATTTTTTTAGAATCAGTAGTAAAGTCTCCACTTTTATTTCTGATTTTAGTAATTTGATTACTTTTTTTTCTTAGTATGGCTAAAGGTTTGGCAATATTGTTGATCTTTTTAAAGAACTATATTTAGTTTTGCTGATTTTCTCTGTTTTTCTGTTTGATTTTTTTTTTTTAATCTCTAGTTTTTATTATTTTCTTCCTTCTGGTAGCTTTGGGTTTAGTTCTTTCTTTTTTTTTTGGTTCTTTAGGTGTAAAGTTTGGTTATTGATTTGAGACTTATTTAATGTATGTATTTATAGCCCAAATTTTCTCATAGCACTGCTTTCATGGCATGCCTTAAATTTTGATATGTTGTGTTTTTATTTGTTTCAATGTATTTTCTGATTTCTTTCTCCATTTTTCAAGAGTGTTGCTTAATTTCCACATAGTAATTAATTTTCTAATTTTTCTTATGTTATAGATTTCTAGTTTCATTCCATTATGATTAGGAAAGATTTTTTGTGTCTTTTAAAATTTATTGAGATTTGTTTTGTGGCTTAACATATGGTCTATTTTGGAGAATTTTCCATATACATTTGTTGAGAAAAATGTCTTATGCTGTTGTTGAATGGAGTGTACTGTATATGTTGTTAGGTCCAGTTGGTTTATATTGTTGTTCAAGTGCTTCATTTCCTAGTTGATCTTTTGTTTTGGTGTTCATTTGTTATTGAAAGTGGGGTATTTAAAACTCTATTATAATAGAATGATTACTCCTTTCAGTTCTATTTAAATATACTCAAATTCATGTATTTCGGGGCTCTGGTGTTTGGTGCATTTATGTTTATATATATTTTTTCTTGATGAATTGACCATTTTATCAATATATAATGCCCATTATCTCTTAGGACAATTTTTAATATAAAGTCTGTTTTGTGTGATACTAATATAGCCACCCGCTTCTCTCTTTTAGTTATTAATAGCATGAAATATCATTTTCATCCTTTCACTTTCAACTTACATCATTTGTGCCTTTATATGTAAAATAAGTCTCTTGTAGACAGTGATAGTTAGATCATTTTTTAAAAAAAAATCCATTCTGCTAATTTCTGTCTTTTGATTGGAAAGTTTACTATTTACATTTATAATAATCACTGACAAGGAAAGACTTACCTCTGCTGTGCTATTTGTTTTCTGTATGTCTTAAAGCTTTCTTCCACTCATTTCTTCTATTACTGCTGCCTTTTTTGTTTAGTTGATTGGTTTGTAGTGACACCTTTTGATTGCCTCTCATTTCCTTTTGCCTATATTCTATAGATACTTTCTTTGTGGTTACCATGGAGATTATATGTAACATCTAAAGTTTTAAAGCTATAATCTTTGTTATAAAGTTATAATCTAATCAAATTGATACCTACTTCAATTGCATGCAAAAACCCATACAGGTCTCTTTTCCTGCCCACTTTATCAGTGTAACAAATTGCATGTTTATATGTTGTGTGCCCAATAATTTAGATTTTAGTTTAGTTTTAGTAGGTTTTTATGTATTTGTCTCTTAAGTCCTGTAGAAAATGAAACCAAAATTATGTAAAATTGGCTTTTGTGTTTGCCTGTTTATTTATATTTACTGGTGATTTCTTAAAACAACTTTGAGTTACTGTCTAACATTCTTTCATTTTAACCTGAGGTACTTCCATTAGTAGTTCTTGTAGGACAGTTCTAGTGGTAATGAACTTTCTCAGCCTTTGTTTATCTGGGAATATCTTAATTGCTCTCTCATTTTGGAAAGACAGTTTTGCTGAATATAGAATTCTTGACTGATAGATTTTTTTCTCCTTAAATATACTGTCCTTCTCCCTTCTGGCCTCCAAGGTTTCTGAGGAGAAAATCAGCTTATAATTTTATTTAGGAACGCTTGTATGTAGTGAGTTGCTTCCCTCTTGCTGCCTCCAAAATTCTTTGGGCTTTGACAGTTATAATGTATCTTGATGTATTCTCTGATTTTATCTCATTTAAAGTTTTTGAACCTTTTTAATTTGTGGATTCATGGCTTTTAGCAAATTTGGGAAGTTTTTATCCATTATTTTTTCAAATAATCTTTCTGACCTCTTTTTCTCTCTTTTCCTTCTCAGACTCCCATAATGCACAAGCTAGTTTGCTTGATTATGTCATTCAAGTCCCTTAGGCTCTATTCACCTTTCTTCATTTTTTGTCTTTTGTTCATTAGATCTGGTAATTTCAGTTGTTCTATCTTTAAGTTAGTTGATTTTTTCTTCTTTCTGCTAAATCTGCTGTTAAACCCTCTCATGAATTTTTCATTTCAGTTATTGTACTATTGTTAGGTAGATAGTCAGGATCTCTAGGCTCTTCTCAGGATAAAGGTTCCCTGTTTTGGTACTGTTTCCAGCAATTATTGCTCTACCTGAGAAGAAGTATAAGAGTGGACACTCCATTTTGGTGTTGTCCCACCGTTAATCCCATCCTGAGCAACTTCTACACCTGGAGAAGGAGAGAATGCTGTATCAATCTAGGAATTCCCCAGCCCAGGCATAATAAGATTTAGAAAGTGACCTAGAGTAACCTAATTAATATGTCATTAGCTTGAATCTGCATTGTGGTTCACCCAGTCCAGGTGAGCTTTCTTAGAAGGAGCTTGTATAGGCAGATGAAATTTTGAGGACACCTGTTGAACATTGGATAACATCCTACACCTCCTGAGAACCCTCCTCTAGACTTAGCTAAGAAAAGAAAACAATCGGAGAAGTCAATAGTAAGTGAGTGGGTCAGTGAGTGAGTGAGTTGGTCTGTCTTTTTCTCTCTGCTCAAAGAGCAGACCCATTTTATTCTACAATAAAGAGCTGCTCTTGTGAATGTGCTCCCTGTCTGAGCTTACTCTGTTGTATTGGTCTTGCTGGTGGTTTTTCCAAGAAAGGAGTCAGAGGACCAGGATAATAGTATGGACTTAACATTTTGGTGTGTCTGATCATTCTTCGTCCATCATTCTTTGTCCAAGAGCACACCAAGAACTGAGGGCACACTTCCACCCTGACATCTTTGGTGCTGAAACCCAGGATTTGGGCACTTTTTAGCTCCGGAGTTTCTGGTTGGTTCTTTTTTCTAATTTCTGTTTCTGTTGATTATTTCATTTGGTTTATACATTGTTTTCCTGATTTCCTTTTTAAGATGGTTGTTGTAAAGTCTGTCTAGTAAATCCAATGTCTGGGCTTTCTCTGGGATTGTCAATTTATTTTGTCCTTTGAATGGGCCATTTTTTCCTCTTTTGTTGTATGCCTTGTGATTTTCTGTTGAAAATTGGGCATTTGACTATTATAATGTGGTAACTCTGGAAATCAGATTTCCCCTTCTCCAAGGTTTGCTGTTTTTTTGTTTTTTTTATTGGTTGATTGTTGAAGGCTATAGAAACCCATTTGTCTTGAAAGTTTTAAAAACTATTTTTGCAACAACTAGTCCATGGTGTGTGTGATCATTGAAGTCTGTTCCTTTAGCTTGTGTTCAGCTGAAGTTTTTATAGAGATATTCTCAGGAGTTCTCCCAATCTTCTTTATAATTAGCTGTGTGATGGGATACTCCTTCATCCCTTAGGTAGGCTTCCTTTGAATGTAGCCATCTTCCTGAGGTGCAAGCCTAAGGTCTTCTCAGGTTTTTTTCTGAGCATGGATCTTACCTGGGCATGCAAATGACTTTCTGAATTCCCCTGTATACACAGTTGCTTTTGAATATCCTTATTTCCCAAAGTGTCTCATCGCATCTTCCCCTCATGGCCTGTTGTATGTCTACTCCTAATCAATTGTCCCAGTGTCTGAGTCTATGGTTCCTAGCAACTTTTATGAGTAGTGCCTGCTGTTTTTTCACCTGATTTTTTTTTTACCTGTGTGATTGGTAAGGCAGAGATTATTAGCTATTCATCAAAATCAGTTTCCAGAGTTTCCAGTTTCATTTTCTTCCTGGGCATATAAACTACATTGCATTTTCCAGTCTCTCTTACAATTAAATATGGCCATGTGACTGAGAACTAGTTTAAGACATGTAAATGAAAGTCAAGTATACCATACTT